TTACTTATTGGTTGAATAATCTTTATTACATTTGATTTGATAAATGTAAAATGTTGGTATATAATGTGAGTTATTGCCTTATTGGTTGAATAATTTTATTGCAACAGACATTAAGACTTGATCCATTCCTTTTCCTCTTGTATCTTCATGGCTTAACCTTGTTTTAGTTGTTTTTTTTTTCCTGTTCTCTGATTTGTAGGCTCCTTTCAGTTGTTAGGTTCTTTTTCTGTTTAGTTGGTTTGTATGAGTGTTCTTGCTTGATAGGGTTTTCTGATTGTAGTTGTTTTGTTTCTTAGCTTGTTTGTATTGAATGGGTGCAGATGGATTCCCCTGTGGCTTCTTTTGTTACCATTTGGTAATCCAGTTGTAAGACTTTTGCTGAGATTTATGAATTTTATTGTCGTTGGAAAAAAAAAATGTAGGGGAGAATGGAGATAACGTGGCAGTGGCGGATTTATACATGGTTTCAATTAAACAATATATATATATATATATATATATATAAATATTGGATGTTGAAGTGTGAATTTGATAAATTCTTATGTTAATTGAACTCAATTGTTGATTGCACATTAATGGACAAGTACTATTGAAAGGCGTCAAATTGAGAGGATTCTTCAATCCTTTTGTCGTCTATAAAGAAAAGTAAGCTCGATAATCAAAATTCAAAGAGCACCGAACTTGGCGAAAATTCTGCCCTGGCTGATAGAAAATTCTGCGTCCGCCGCTGCATTCTGGCAATTGTTAGACAGTTACACTTAACAGTTAGGATTGAGGACTGTGAGACCCGAGGCTTTTTTGTAAGCTGGGTGAGCATTTGTGCGAAAAACCAAGCAAGCGTGAACGAGTGAGAGGCTAGGATAGCACGCTTCAAAAGAACTCGGAGAGAGCGAACTCATTGAGTGAGGGAGTTTAAACACGAGGGTGCAAAGGCGAAGAAAACAGACAGACGATCTAGGGTGCGAGTAAAGTCCTAGTACTGTATTCTAGTATGTGCATGAGTTGACATACACCAAGTGGTGTAGCTTGCATGTGTGAGGTCAACGCCTGTAAGGCCGACACTAGATTGGCGAACGTTAGTTGGTCCTAAGTTGTTTGTTAATATGACATAAGACATATTGGGCCAATTTAATTCATCTGCTGCGTGTGGTCTGCGTGGTTAATATTTGAGGAAATTGCACCCCACACTAACATATTTAATTTATATAACACTTTTGCACCCCTTAAATTATTATTTAAAAAATTACTTAAAGAAGCTAAAAATATTTTAATTATACCTACAATACATTGTGTAACCGTTAGTAACTTTTTACCTCCACATTAAACGGAAATGAGATATTTGATTGAAATTAAAAATGCACTTACTTATAAAAATAGGAACAAAAAAGTTGATTCTCCTCCAACTAAAACCACCCCACCGCCCCCATCGCTCGTATCACTCTGCAAAACCGCTCTAGAATTTCCCACTTTATTTCTGACAAATGAGCATATGTGAAACATCCATATCTAAATATACTGCTTCTTTAATTTATTTATTTATTTATTTATTTTTTTAATATCACTTATGGTAGAGAGCAAACAGCAGTCTGGCGGCTACATCTTCTTCTCCTTGATTCATGGTCCGGAGTACCACGCTTCGCAAGTCTGTTCAAATATTAATCTTTGATTAGTTATATCAAATATAAAATAAAAGATGAATAACATCTGAGTTTATATGAATCAAGTATAAATAAGATGATCTCTATTGCATCTCAGGTGGCAAACGTTGTTTTGATTGCGAGGAAACTCGGTGTAACTCTGGCACTGCCTAACTGACATCACCGAATATAACTCGGCGAGAAAAGCAGGGGAAAAATGGAGGCGGATCAAGGCTGCACGACCCCAGAGCACCCGGAGTACCGAATTCCGGCGTCGCTACTGCCTCCGACGATGCCGAGGAAGTAGAAGGTGCGGGCAGAGATGAGGGACCCGCCGAAAAATGACTACCTCAAGTTGCCGGAGGTTGAGGCCTTCCTAGCCGGATTGGAAGCTCATTGCGGACATGTTCATGGAGCTTGTTGATTGATTATTAGTTTGCTAATTTCTAGGAAGTGGTGCAAATGAAGTTATTGTATTTTGATTTGGTTGGATTTATTATTCATGAAGAATTCTTTGGTAGCCTTTGTTTTTGGGGTTTATTTTAGAGTATATGTACAGTATATCTACAGTATATATTTACGACAGTATATGTTGGATGTTTTGTGTATAGACAGACAGTATATGTGGTGTGTATAGGGAGTATATGTTCAGTATATTAGAAGATTTTTTTGTAAATTGTTCGTTATATGTTGTGTGTATAGGGAATATATGTTTAGTATATTAGAAGATTTTTTAGTATAGGTTTATAAACTATATATATACTTTTATGTATAAAAGTAAAAAAAAATATAATAATAATAATAATAATTTTTTGATTGAAGACATGTTTTTCATTACAACATAACTGAATATGTACTAACATAAACGCAACATATACCCACTGGACAGCTGCGTAAATTACAATACATGTTTTTATCTCTCTCTATTAAAAACGTACAAGGTGCGCGAATTAAGGGATTAAAGAAGTTATTATAAGCATATTTTCATTTCTCTCTCATAATCAATCCCATAAAAAGAGGGATGGAGGTTGAAATGATATGGTAAATGATTTAGGCATTATAAATAATGTGTTTTAGGCAAAGACACAATTATTTATATCTATATATATAATAAGAATTAACATATATCACATTTAGAAACTTCTTCCCGCCAAAATATATTAATTGCATACTATAAAAAGTAATCTTAAAACATATTTTAATTAAACACGAATAGACTGCATTGATTGCGTCCCATATATCTTTTCCTTAAAAACCGGATTCTATTTAACAAATCATTTAGCAGATTTTTTCTTTGCATTTCGAACTAGAAATCAGTTTCGAGAATTTCTGGTACAAGATCCCTTCCTAATGTTATGGCTAATTTTTTGGTAAAATCTAACTTACACGTTTGTATGTCAATCTTAATTTAATATTTTTCCTATAAACACAATATTAAAAATCTTGAATTAATATTTTTCATTTCAGATAGGCCTTGAAAAGTGGATTTTGTTATGACATTTAGTTGTTGTTGTATTATTGAATCTTTAGGCAGAATTTTTCTTTGCATTTTGAAACAAAAATGAATTTATAAATCTTGACGGAATATCTTTCAATAGCGGATAGACATAATAATTTAGCCCATCAATACATATTATCATAGCTTTTACACCCGGCCTGGGAATCGACCCGGGCAAGTTTCCGTGTCACCAGGTTACTGGTTCAACCGTCGGGTCACCGGATCAATTGTTGAACCGGATAATTAATTTTAAAATTTCTAAAATTATACATACAATACTTTGTCATATAAATATACGTACAAGTAATAAAATTTGTACATTAATGTGTTCATAATATGTATTTCATGATAAAAATTTGCCATATAAATATATATACATAGTTTTATTTTTTAAAAACAAAAAATATTTTAAAAAATAAAAATATATATATATAGGGGTCGGGTCCTTTGTTGCCTGGTACAAATAGTCTACTCGGACCGGTTCCGGCTCCAGATCAACCGGGTCCCACGTCAATCCGTCAGGCCGGTCCGGGTTAAAAAACTATGTTAAATCATGTTTAGAAAGTTTTCCCGCCATAAATATTAATTACATACTAAAATGGTAATTTTAAAATTTATTTTACATAAAGAAAAAATAAGCATTAATTGAACTCATTATAATCTATATATCTATATCTATATATATAATAAGAATAAGGTTAATTCATTATTAGAAAACATTTTCCAGCCAAAAATATTAATTACCTACTATAGATGGAAATAGTATAATATATATTTAAATACAAATAAATAAATCACTAATGCATAGTTTTCATAAAACTAGACTTTCAATTTATGTATGTTTTAGTTAATTCTCAATTTTCTTTATTTATGTTGATAATTGTTTGGTAGGCAAAGGTTATGTAAATAATTACGCAACCGATTTCAAATTCTCATTTATGGAGGATTTTTTTTTTATTTTAGTTATATGATTACTTAAATATTTTAATGAAAGAACGATTTGTTATGTGATATATACAAATCTCTTTTTACGGTGACACGTTCACAAATCTTACATATGTTTTATAACATTTTATGTGTTTTTAATATTTTAAACACACTATTTAATGTTCTTTATATAATTAAAAAAGTGTAGAAATATTAGTAAAAATTATTTAGCTAATAAAGTATGATCGATATTAAAATGATAAACTAATAGCATTTTTAGAACTACCGTGTAAATTATCCTATGATAAATGAATCCTTTCGATCTTAGGTTCCATTTAAGTTCCAACGGCACCAGTTCCTACTTATAGTTTTGTATGCATGATGATAAAAGAAAAATCCGTTTTTAGTCATGGTCAATTATATGTTATTAGTTCTTGTGTTTGTAATATAAAAGAGTTGAAAATATTAGGTTATGGGACGACGAGTTGCCCATGAATTAAACTAATAATGTTGTGTAGAAAGAGATTTTTAATAATATAGTAATTTGTGTGAAGAACATTTTTATGGTTTGACAATTTATCTACATATTATTATACTTTTATTTATTAATACACTTCAATTTATAATATTTCACTTTTTTATTTATTAATACACTTCAATTTATAATATACCCTCAAAATAATATCTCCGTACATCTACGGAATACGTACTAGTTAATATAAATATGGTAGAATTGTAAATAAGTTAAAATAGTAGTATGCGTAAAAATTTCTCTTAATATTCTCCCTTTTTTAAGGCTGCGAATTTAATTCCTTCACCTCAAATAAATAGCACCCCAAATTGTCCAACCCCAAAAAGTGGCGTGAATGTGTCCTCACTTTCAAGTCATGGGCCATGTTTTATTTTTCCACTAACTAATAATGCTAGTGGGCTAAATCTTGGGCCCAAATATGTGCCCCATATTGAGCCAGGTACGGGGCTTCCTCATATTGCTTGCTTCAATCTTCTTTCAACGTCTCGTCGTCCATGAAAATACTTCAATATCTTAAAAATGAAACATAAAAATATCAAAGCACTAGAATTCATCTAATGTATAAAAAAGTCAGAAAACATATAAGTGCGATAATTAAACATATAAAAATACGCTAATAAATATATAAAATACAAACTTTTTCCTACCAATCGGTTAGATATGTGAGTAAGGCCAGTGTTGTACTAGTACTCTCGAGTAAAAGAGAGAGTGTTTGCATGCATGAGAGTGGGAATTTTGAATTGTGTGTGCGAGTTGTAGGGCATTTCATTGTACATTGAGTAATTATAGTACTTTGATTAAGAGCATGAGCTCGTACTCTTGCGTGTCATCTATTTACTTGATAGCTTCAGCTTGCGTGTTTGAGTGATGTGCTTGCACAACTCCAAACCATACTTGTGTGTGCGAGCGAAGGTTCGGTGGACGATGAGAAGACTGACTGGTTTGTGAAAAAATTTGAACCTAAAACTTAACCTTGTGACAAGTGGTATCAGAACCCACGTTGGGTTCTGATTGAAGATTGTGTTGGAACTATGGAGGATTCCGTTCGGCCAGAAGACCTCATGTGACCTCTGAGGCGAGGATTCCAAGGTTTTGAGAAAAGGCACTGAGAAAACTGACTTCGATGGGTATTTACTGAAATTATATGTTATAATTAAGAAAAGGCACTGNTGTAAAACAATACCGATCAGCAAAAAAAAAAGAGTAACAAACTTACAATTAAAAAAACCACATTATTGCAATTTCTGGAGAAATCAAACCGTTCTCAACCTACGAGATGTTTACATTTAAATATTGGGACGAAAATATAAATTTCGACTCAATAGTTAATTTTGCCTCGATTTTTATATACATTTATATTTAACTTAGTGCGGTTCAGTTCAAAACTGCACCGATGCAAACAAATTTGAATACTAAATTTATGAAAAAATAATAACCGAATCGCACCACAATGTAGAAGAACATCGATTGAAACCAAACCGAAAAATTTCTACATTACAAATATCTTTTTTTTTTCCAAAGCCAAACAAGAAAATTTATATGACTCAAATAAGAAGTGCGAGTAAAATCGAGCAATCAAATGATTACAAACCCATGATAATCCAAATCAAAGCTACCCTAGATACACGAGAGAGCAACAGGTTCTCCCCCTCAAAGACCAACATGGTTAAAAACAAACTAAAAGGGTAAAATTACAAAAACTTAAAATAAAACACACCACAAGAGTCCATAAGATCCCAAATATCTAGTAACACTGTTATGCAACAATCCCCAGGGGGAATAACTTTGTTCAAGATTTTCACTGCCACTTCATTGTTCAGATAACCCACAGCAGCTTCTGGGTTTGTTTCTTTGAATTTCCTCAACCCCCATTGAATTGCCAACATTGTTGCATTTGTCACACCTTCTGATTCCCCTGCTTCTGATATTTGGCCTTGCCATTGAACCTGATCTCCTGAGTTCTGGGATGCAACGCACTCTACTTCAGTAATTCCATTTGCAGCTGAATGGGCACTGATAGCCAACCAAGGCTTACCTACCCTTTGAAGTGTGTCATCTGCAATGTGAATTCTGCCTCTAGCTGCATGATGTGTCTCCCATTCCAACCATTCTGAATAGGCTCTCCCCACAATTTCCCTTTCATTGAACCAATCTCCTTTAAATACCCACTTGTTTCTGGCCTTCTACAAGTTCCAGAGTAAATAGGTAGATAAAGTAATTCTTCTTTTGAGACTAGCAGACATACCATTTGAGGTTATTTCCATCCACCACCTCTGAAAATCCATATCCTTGTGTTGCATTAAGTTCCACTGAATCCCAACCAGTTTCCAACAGATTTTGGCTTTAGAACAAGCAAATAGCAGGTGATTTAAATATTCATTCCCCTCCCCACATACTCTGCACACTGGATCCACAGTCATCCCTTTCCTAGTTAATCTGTTATTCACCCCTACATAACCAAACCAAC